AAAGCAGCCCCGCCTAAACTCTCTCATTGCTTCTGTCCTAAGCCCTTCCTTGTTTCACCATCCCCAGCTTAAATAAACATACTCCAAAAAAAAAAAAAAAAAAAAAAAAAAAAAAAAAGAGTCAAATTGCACTCAGACAGTTTAGGAAAAATCTGAGGTATTCTCTAGTGTTTCCAAAGACACTGAACCAAAGAGCTTTAAAGGTTCAAAAAAACCTTAGCTATTCTGAAAAAGAAAGGAAAAAAGACAATTCTCTAATAAAACTCTAAAAAAAACCAACACACACACATGTAATCCAGGCTTCAAATTCAGTTGTTGCCTGTTAAGATGTTCAGGAAAAAAAAAGAAAAGAAAAGAAAAAGAAAGAAAGACATGCTGGAACTGCAGAACACCCAAAAAACTACTCCTGGAAGGATGGAGCCACTTCTTAAAGTGGTAGCTTATCAGTCTTGAGAGAAAGCGGACTCTTCCCCCAGCTTCCATTACACTAGGACCAGGGGGAACCTGAAGCAATGAAACAGCAACTTGACTGACCACTGGCTTGTGTCTGGTCCTGTTCTCAGTCTCTGCGTGGGCCCGTCTCTTGGATCCCTGTAACATCCCATCAATGGAGATCCTGTGATTATTTCTCCATTTGAAGAGGTGGGACCCCTGAGTCCAAGAGCCAACCTAACTTGTCCGTCCGAGGTGACTCGGCATTGAAGGAGCTGGCCTCTAGCCTGGGCAGTGTGGCTCCAGAGTCCAGAGCTCACCCTGGTGTGTGAACTACCTTTTCTTCTTTTTTGTATTCCTGATGCTCTGGCCTCTGGGGCCTCACTAGCTGGGAGAGGCCACCCCGCCCAGGGCGAGCCAGTTCTGAGAGGCAGCAAGTATACACCTTCCACGTGCAGACTCACCAATCCGGAGGCCACCCCGCAACCCACACCTCTGTCCGGCACATTACCGCCCCCCCCGCCCCCCCGAAGCACTAACCCTCGGCCTTAACCACGTCAGGACGTCAGGACGGGGAACAGACAGCTAGAGGCAGCCCCTAAGCCCCAGGGCCTGCCAAATTACTTGGACTAGCCATTATTCATCCCATGTGCCTGCCTGGCCTGGCCCTTCTCGTGGAAACCACAGTAAGGGTCCTCTGCTGGCCCCCACCCACTTGCCTCACCAGCCGCCCTCCCCTCCAAGGACCCTTCAGGGTGCCCTGTCTTCCTGCGCAGCCCAGGGCTGCCCCTGCAGCCCTCCCTCGCGGGAAAGGCTGCCTAGCCACCTAAGGGAACCAGGGAATGAGTGAGAGGGGCCCTTCGGGGCTCTGCGCCTCACCCTGAGGCAGAGGTGAGGCAGGCCGCCCATCACCTGGATGGCCAATACACTGAAAGGTCTTCACTCTCTGATTCATCAAGAGGTTTGTTCTTGGGCTAGTAATTACCGGCAATTGACAGTGCTCATAAAAACACCATATTAACTCAGCTGCCAGGCAGCGCCTCAAACTTGGGTGGTCTCAGAAGCACTGGAAGAGCTGAGAGAGTAGAGGGGGCCAGGCTCAGGGAAACCAGACAGGGCTGGGTCCTGGCTACTTTACTAGGTTCCCGAGGTGACTCTCCTGTGACCGGCTCGGGGAGCACAGGCACTGGGAATGAGGAACAGACCTCCAAAAGCCCAAGGGAAAGTGAATCCACCAAAACGCCATTCTGAGGACTTTGACCTCGGGTTCGCTCCCTGGGTGCTCCATCAAAGAGTGGGGTTCATGGGGTGGGGACTGAGGATGAGGTTTGCTCCGGGGAGAGGAAGGGGCCTCAGTGGGAGGTCAAGGTTGGGAGGAGGCGAGATCAGCTACACAGAGGGAGGGAGGCTGACCTCACAGAGCAGGAACAAGAGATGGGCAATAAGGGCAGCGGCTGGGCTGCTGGCCACTGTGAGTTCCAGGGGCTCTGGCCCAGCAACGCTGTCACTAGCTGTGACGTTAACTCCTACCGTACAGAATGGTTGTGAAGATTGTTAAGAAAAAAACAAAATGAAGTCACTCATGCTAGAAGCCACATGGAATTGTAAACCAATCAGTCGGGAAATTACTAATCAATACTAGTAAAGTAATCTGCCTGCAAACCCTTTACCTTTTCTTAAGGGAAGGTGTCCTTGCCTGAAATAGCCCACTCTTTTAACTTCTTAGTCCCATCCTTCTTCTGCCTATAATCTTCCATTTTTAAAAAAAGATTTGGTTTATTTATTTTTAGAGAGAGGGGAAGGGAGGGAGAAAGAGGGAGAGAAACATCAATGTGTGGTTGCCTCTCACGTTCCCCTACTGGGGATCTGGCCTGCAACCCAGGCACGTGCCCTGACTGGGAATTGAACCAGCGACCCTTTGGTTTACAGTCCAGCACTCAATCCACTGAGCCGCACCAGCCAGGGCTAACATCCTATTTTGAACAGCTTCTCCCAGCACCCTTTTAGTTACTGGATGGGGTGCAGCCTGATCCATGAACTATTTGTTAAAGTCAATTAGATCTTCAAATTTACTTGGTTGAATTTTGCTTTTTAACCAAGTTGTGCAAACCTGTAGAGAATTTGTATGAGTATATTTGAGCCATACCGGCAATTGCTGGGAAGCAAAATCCTAAGGAACTGAGCAAATGCTCTGTAGGAGGGCAGTCCTACAGCTTGTTTGATGCTCTAGAACCAAAGGAGGAGGCGTAAGGAGGGTGATGTGAAATCCATGGATGGGAGGTTACAGAAGCGGGAGAGAGCAAAGAGGGAAAAGCTCTGGGATTGGATAAAGAGTAACATGAAAAAACATGTCTTTTGCATTGGTGGGGACAGGCTAGTTAACAATGAGCATTTACTGCACAGGGAGGTGGTACTTGGGCAACAAGACAACATCAAGGGGAGATTGTGCATTGAGGGGCCTGGAAAAAGGGAGATTATTCTGACAATCCAAAGATATGTTACATCTTAGACGCAAAAAGACAATGCACCGGCTCACTTAAGATAAAGATGGACTTTTGTCAAAGAAGCTACAGACCTAGGCCACTACCACCATGACCTGCTTTTAGTTAAGAACTTTTGTGTTCAGATCAGTCATTCCATGTGGTTACTTTCAGTCTCTGTGTGTAGAGCCTCCGTGCTGGCCTCCCCTGAGTGTGTCAGGGTTAGTATGTGGCCCCTTTTGCATCCACGGCGCTACAGGACTGAAGAGGTCTGTCTGCCTGTGGGCATCAGAGCCCAGTAAGGCCTGAACAGGAGCTTGCAGCCAAGAAAGGAAGGGTTCATCACTTTTAGGGAGTGGCCCAGCCCGGAGTCACAGGAGGGCTACTGCTCAAAGACCTCGCTCCGTGATGGCTTCCTGAGATGGGTTGTATAGGGGGGAAATCATTAATCATGGTAACTCAGGGAGCTGGGGCTGTGGTTAGGGCTGTGGTCCCGTTTGATTGGTTGGCGCCAGAGTACGGGACGATGACCAGGGCAGCTGGCCCTGGTGTCAGCCAGGGTGTTGCTTCTTGTGGTTTCCCTGCTTTCCTGGGCCCGCAGCTGAAACGTTATCTTCAGTTTCACTGAAAGTCCCCGTCCACAGACCCAAGGCTTTGTTCCTAAGATTATTCAATACTGATCAGAACCTTATTTTCTTGAGGGCTTAATGATGAAGGGCGTAGTCAGGGTGCTGGAAGAAGCCAGCCTGAATCAAAAGGAAAGAAAAATCCTGTTAAAGAAATGAAGCTTCTATGTGGTTTCAACAAAATTAAATGTGTCAATGTGAAACATGCCTTTAGCACACAGTAAGTGCTCAATAAATACTAGCTGTTATTAATCGGCAGTTGTTGACTTTCTCTTCAAAACCCGGACAGCTATGGCACTGCCCTGCTTCCTCCCCAGGCGGGCACTTGCCGGTCCCTGCATTGTCTCCTTAGCAGGCTAGAGAGGTCTAAACGTGTTGCCTTCGGTCATCATAAAGGACCCAAATCACCATGTCTTGAGGTCTGAAGGTGGGGAGAGGAGGCAAAGGAAGCCCCCGAGAGCGCCTCAGCTGTGGCAAGGGTAGGAAGGGGGGGTTGTAAAGGTGGGGCTGGGCCCCCGCCCCGTGGAAGGCCGGTTCTAAAGGTGGAGACAGGGTATGGGTGGTGGGGCAGGCACGGGCCACATGGTCCAGCCAGGGCACCCTGAGGCAAAGATCCCGCTCACTACATGGCCGGGGGTGGGGGCTGGGTGCCTCAGTGTCCTCATGTGTCTCCTTGCGCTGCGGTGTCTGTCCCCACCAGGCCTCTTGGTAGAGGTTCGGTGCCCGCTGGCCTCACGTAGGTCAGCTCTGCATCCCACAGGCGAGTGCGCCCAGGCGGGTGAGGGGGGTGGGCCTGGGTCCTTGGTTCTCAGGGCGGACCTGGGGCTCGTGAGTCCTCGGGCTGGTCGGCGCGGTGGTCCGAGGGGCGGCTAGGGATCGGACGCCGGTTCCGGGACCTGCGGGGGTCTCGACGGCCCTCTAGCCCCTGGAGTGGGACGAGGGCGGTGGGGAGGGCAGCCCGGTCACTTCCGGCCCGGTCAGATTCTGCGGTCATCCTTTCCACCCTTCTTTCGCCTCACCGCGCTGGTGCGTTTCCGGCACGTCCGTTCCTAACAGACCCGCTCACGATCCCGTGGCCCCCGGAGGGTGAGGCCGGAGGTCGGAGGCGGGGCGCAGAGCTAGCTGTCCGGATGCCTGAGTCAATGAATGAATCAACGGCTCGAATGAATCAACGCCGCGACAGTGCCCTTTCTGGGTAAAATGGAAACTGCAAACCCAGCGTTTGGGGGGCGAGGAGTGGCTCTCCTCGCCCACGTGGCAGGAGCGCAAAGTGGCGTGGGTCGCCGAGGCCTGGAGGGAGGGTGGCAATAGGGAACGGCGGGAAACAGAGTGGGATGTGGATTCGATTTTCCCAGTCCCGGAAGAGGGCGGAGTGGGCGTGGTCTCCTCGGATGCCCCGCCCCCGCCCCGCCCTGGCGCAGCGCGGGCCCCGCGGGTTCCCAGCGGCGCTGAGGTCACGAGGAGACGGCCTGTCGTCCGAGCCGAGCGCCTGCGCCGAGCGGGACCAGAGCGGAGCCCAGGCACTAGCGGAGCCCGAGATCCGCGAGCAGGGAGACGCTGACGCGCACGGCCCCCGCCGCCTCGGCAGGCCGGCATGGAGGAGTGCCGGGTGCTCTCCATCCAGAGCCACGTCGTCCGCGGCTATGTGGGCAACCGGGCGGCCACGTTCCCGCTGCAGGTACGCTTACGTAACGCGCGGTGCCCCCGCGCACCGCCGCGCCGACCCGCGGCGGGGTGGCTACAGCCGGACCGCGTGACCTTGGCTGGGCCACCGAGGTAGCCGCAGGTGCCCGTCTGGAGCGCGGAGAGCCCGACGCGGGCTGGGAGCACCTGGTGGGCTGCTGCGGATGTCCCAGGACGGGAGCGCTGAGTAGGATAAAACCTCGGTGCGAGCTTTGCCCACCGGGCATTTGCCACCCGTTCCCGCTTCCCGGCTCCAGCAGGCGCGGTTCTGTGCCGGCGAGAGGATGCTTTGGCTGGGACCCTGCTTCGGAAGGAAGGAGACTGATGGGCAGGTGTTTACAGTGCTCACCTGCTGGGCGCTGCATTCTGCTCTTGCCCACTGTGGGTCAGGATGCTGGGAGGGAGGAAGAGAAGGAAGCTCGCGGACATTGGGAAGCCCACTGGCTAGAGTGGGCCCCCACCCTGCCGCTGACCATTCCTGGAGGTGGTCGCCGGAGGGAGGTGGGGCAGTGATGGTCTACCTGCAGGTGCTGGCTCTGTAGAAGAAAAGCCCACGGCCCAGTTGAGGCCCTTGTAGGGGTTGGCTTTAAAAGCTGCTCCTAAATGTGTTCATGTTTCTGTCTCGGGCGTCCTCATGGGCTTCCCTCCTGCCCTCCGCAGCCTGTCCTTGGTGACGGGGCCCCTCTTTCCTCCTGGCTCGCTGGCTGAGCATTTACTGTCTCATGTTGCAGCCCTGAGGTGGGTGTCCCTTGGTTGGGCAGGAGGAGACCCCATGGGGTGTCGTGCTGGGCAAGAGTCAATACCACGGTGCTAGTCACTTCTTGCTTTGTGGCCCAGCAGGAGCGCTGGGTGGTCCTGGCAAGGTGGGGACTCTTCTGGACTGCCCGCCATTCTGTTGATATTTGAGCAAGGAGCAGGCGTGGCAGGTCCCAGGGCTGGACCCCACAGGACATAAAGGGCCACCCGCAGGGTGCAGGCTGGGCAGAAAGACCATAGAAAGGGCCAGAGCTTTGATGTAGAATTTGAAGGCTGACCTGAGACTGCCAGGGCCAAAGCCTGAAGAGGAAATAGTGGAGCAGAGACTTGAAGGTGGAGAGGTAACAAGGGTTCAAGCTCAAAGTGACCAGCCACCCCTGATGTGTGAGAAGCTCCACAGGTCTTGTCCTTGTCCCTCCTGTTCTGGCCAGCAGAGGGCAGACCTGGGGGGATAGTCAGGGGGCTGACCTGGGGCTGCCCCACAGAGGCCATTCCCGTCCCCTGCTCTGGAATACCGGCTTACTCCTCGCTTGTTGGGGGAGGGGAGAGGAGGCATGGCAGACAGGCAGATTGTGTGCTCGGGGCCACTGGGGTGTGGCTACTGGGGTGGTGGTGTGCGGAGCTGCCCGGTCACTGGAGCAGAGCAGGGGCAGCCCAGGATGGCGGAATCCGGGGGCTCTGGGAACAGCTGCAGCTTGCTGTCGCAACGGTAGGAGCGGCCCCGGCCTGGCCTTGGCCAGGGAGCCATGGGACTGCCCTTGGCAGAGGGTGTGCAGTTCCCTGCTGGCTTCCCTGTGCCCTCTGCCCCGTTCCTCCTCCCTGTCCACCAGTACAAACAGTTCCCTTCCTCTGCTCACCAGGGTCCTGGTGTGATGGCCTTTGTTCCTGAACTCCCAGGCATGTACCCTCGACATCTGTACCAAAAACATCCTTGTCCAGTTACTCAAGGGAGGTGCCGTCTGCAGACTCCTCCTCCCCTCCTTGGGAGAAGTACCTCTCAAGGACACAGCTGCAGCTTTTACCTGGGGTTTCCCCAGGGCCCAGCATCTTTACTTGTGGGCACGTGTGTTGGGGTTTATGGGACATAGGCTGGGGGGTGGTGAGGGTCATGTTGTATCATCTCCTCCCTCCTGTCATGGGGGGGTGACACCTCTATCTGCTATTGAACCCAGCCCCACACGTGTTCCCCTCAAGGTTTGTGAGGCCCAGGAGGAGCATGACAGGGCGGGGTCATGGACAGCAGGGGGCCATTCAGTGGGTTAGTGACCTTGAAGAGGCCACCTTCTGCACTGAGCCACCGGTGCTCTGTTGCCTCGTGTGTGGAATGAGCGTGATGCTGCTGCACAGGTTGTTTTAGGACCAGAGGAGATGGGGAGTGCGCACGTTTCTCTGAGGTGCCCGCTGTGGAACGAGGTGGGCCAGCAGCACCCTGGAGTGCTTCGTTCACCTGTCCCCGTGCAGGAGGACTGGACGCCTGGGGCACCCTCAGAAGCCGGAACCCCTGTCAGGAGGGGATGTGGGTGGGCCCATATTGCCTTCCCTGTGTCCTTTGCCCTGATTATTTCCTCCTCCTAATTATAGAAATAAGGGGTAGTTTCGGGGCGGGAGGTGGAGGGAGCTGAGGAAAAGGAGAAAGCCAGGTGGTCCTCAAAGCATGTCCCCCTCCCCCCGCTACAGTTGGATCTCAAACAGGACTGTGTTAGCTTGGGTGACCATGACAAATACCACAGACTGGGGGGCTCAGACAGCCGACGTCTGTTCTGCCCCAGTCCTGGAGGCTGGAAGTCAGATCAGGGGGTGGATGGGGCAGGTCTCCCCCGAGGCCTATTTCCTTGGTGTGTAGATGGGGCTTTCTCCCTGTGTCCTCGCATGGGGGTGGTTCTGTGTGCCTGTGTCCTAATCTCTTTTATGACACCAGGCATGTTGGATCAGGACCCACCCTAGTGACTTTGTTTAACCTCAGTCACCTCTGTAAAGGCGTCCTCTTTAAATAATGTCCCATTCTGTGATGCTGGGAACCAGGACTTCAACATACGGATTTTGGGGGACATAGTTCAGCTCATGACAAGAACAGTTCCCAGAAATTTTGTCGTTCACTGGGGTCTTTCTCCATTTGCCCCCTCAGCGCTGCTTTGACCGGGGCCCGCACAGGCTGCCTTTGGCCCAGGCCTCGCTCTCTGGCATGATCTGTTAGTACTACAGGGTGCTCCCCACCCCCACGTCTGAGCACCGCTGGAGAAGCGGGAAGATGAGTGGGGTTGGCCCGCTGATGGAACTTGCACCAGCCTTTGCCACCATGGGACAGAGGTGTCCCCTAATGCTGATGCCCTACGGCTAGAGGTTCCAAGGTCCAGCTCTTTCCCATGGCCGAGTGTGGAAAGAGAATTTGGAAATGACTGGAGAAGGTAGTCCCTGGCTGGGCCACACAGATTTGCCCTCATGCCACTCAGAGCGCGACTGGAGGCTGTGTGTGGTGGCGGCTGGAGGGGCTGCCTGTGGGGACTGATTTGGTGTCCCCTGGTGTTGGCCTTGGAGTTTGAGCTCAGGAACCTGGTCCTGCCTTTCAAGCTTTTCTCTCTGCAAAGCGATGCCAAGAAAGAGAAGACTTGAACCTCGGTAGATTTAAGCAGAGTTTTTTATTTGGGCCCAACTGAGGACGTGCCCGTGAATGGAGCTCCAAGAAGCTTGGAACAGTGTCTGACTTGAGGAAGGTGAGCGGGTACTTATATAGGCAGGAGGACAGAAATACCATGCTGCACAGCAGGTGCAGCAGGTTTGTTAAATATATTCAAGGATGAAGTCTGACATCAGGTGGGGAGAATGTTCAGAGAAGGTAGCGGCGTCAAGCACCGGGAGCCAGGATTCATGGGAAGGGGTCTGGAAGCAATTACTGCTACGTATTTATCAGGACGTGGAAAGAATAGGCACTGCCTTCCACAGTCATTTATCTTCTTAATTGGAACTGTTGGAAATACACGTGGCCAGCCCCACGAAAGACCTTGGTTAGAGCACAGTCAACGCTAACCAAGGTCTTCACTGTGTTCCCGTGGTTACTGATCAGGCTGGAGCAGCCTGGACACTGTTTCCTGTCTCAGTGAGGACTGCCCTCTTGGTGATCAGATGGTGCCTGGCTCCCAGGGCACCGCCTAGACAGAGCCTGGCCCGAGGCGCTCTGTGCTCAGCATGGTGTGGAGTATGGCCTTCAGGGCCGAAGGTCCCCAAGCTGCTTTTTGCCAGGTCCCAAAGCCCAGCGCTCACAGCCCAGGCAGGCGGAGAACAACGTTGTACCAAAGAGAAGGGAACAGAACCTTGACCCTGCTTTTGGATTCGTTTCTGGGCTCCAAGTCCATAGTACATTTTAACAGTTGGGAAGAACACAGTAATGTAACCAGCGGCAGAGGAGGTAGCCTGAGCTCTAAACCCATTTAAATACAGCGTCACTGAAATAGAAAGGCACTTAAGGGGGCGGCTCAGTTTGGGGCTGCAGAAATCAGCCTCATTCTCTGACCTTCCTGATCGTCCATGCAGGGAGCGGGCCCTGGCTGGGAAACCTGGATTCAGACTCCCTGGGCCACAGTAGCTGGGGCAGGCGTGGAGGGTCCCGGGGGATGGCGGGAGCAGAACAGGCGCTACAGGGCTGCAGGGACCTGGGTGCATGAGCCCCGGTGTTGGTGTGGGCGGCTCACTGCACGTTCTCCTGGAGACACCACTCGGTCCCCAGGGGTCGCTTCAGGGCCATAAGGAGCTATTTCCAACCTCTCGCCTTTGAGAACCCCCTGAGCTGCAATGTGGCCTTCTTCAGAAGGTCTCTGTCTCTTGATCAGGCCCTTGGAAGATCTTTACATTTTTTCCTCAGAATTCCCATGATAGAAAGGGTCTTCTCCAACAGGATTGCATTCAGAAGATGTTGGAAGAATGGCACCCTGCCCTTTAAAAGACTTCGTTTCTGTCTTAACGGTTTTCATGGTGGCACGTCGTTAACAAGCTGTACAAGAGCTGCCACCAAAAAGCGTGCCTCTCTCCTGCCCCCTGCGGTGGCCATCCACTTCCTTGGAGGGACCCACCGGGTTTGGGACAGGCCTGAGCGTCCTCTGGAAGGTTCCCTTGTGCTCTCTAGGCCACACTGAGCTGCTGCTTTCCTCTGTGCTGTATGTGACTCTCCCATTTCCTTCTGGAATCCTCCACTCTGACTCAGACTTGCTCCAGGCCTGGATCATTGGTGGTGTTTTAGCTGTTTCT